AAACTAAGCAAACAACTAGAACAGAAACAGAACCACAGAAATAGAGACCACATGGAGGGCTAGCAACAGGGGAGTGGGAGGAGAAGAGAGGGGGTAAAGGTACAGAGAATAAGTAGCATAGATGATAAATAGAAAATAGGGGGAGAGTAAGAATTGTATGGGAAATGTAGCAGCCAAGAACTCACAAGTGTGACACATGGACATGAACTAAAGGGGAGAATGTGGGTGGGAGGGGGTGTGCAGAGTGAAGGGAAAATGGGACAACTGTGATAGCATATAGCATAATCAATAAAATACATTTTTTTAAAAAGGAAAAAATGCTGGAATTGTAACTATGATATTTCAGGGCAGCCTGAGAGGGTGTGAAGAAAGATTTGACATAATTGAAGGGATCAGGAAAAACTTGTCTGAGAAACATTTAAGCAAAGACTTTAAGTAGCAGGAGTTGGCCAAATCATGAGTAGAGTCTGGAACGTTGCATGCAGAGAAACAGTACACAAGAAGGTTCTGACAGAAAGCTGCTGGGGGAGTTTCAGAAACTTAAAGGCCATTGTAGGAGACAAGATCCTGGAAGAGCCAAATCATCTCCTTGTGGACAAGAGTAAGGGTGTCCCTACATCCTTTTAAGAGGGGTAGGAATTCTTGGCAGACTTTAAATAGAACTTGAAAAGCTTCTTGTGCACCGTGGCCAGGTGGCTTAGTTGGTTGGAGCATCATCCTGTATACCGAAATGTTGCTGGTTTGATCCTGGTCAGGGCACATACTAGGTTACACATTTGGGGTATGTACGGGAGACAGCTGATAGATGTTTTTCTCTCTCTCCCCCTTCCTCACTCTCTAGAAAATCAATAAACATATCATCAGGTAAGGATTAAAAAGTAATAATAAAAAATAAAAGCTGCCCTGACTGGCGTGGCTAAGGAGATTGAGTGTTGTCCTGCAAAGTGAAGGGTCACCGGTTCAATTCCCAGTCAGGGCACATGCCTGGGTTGAAGGCTAGTCCCCAGTTGGTGCATGTGCAAGAGGCAACTGATCATTGATGTTTCTCTCCCTCTCTTTCTCCTTCCCTTCCCCACTCTCTAAAAATAAATAAATAAATAAAATATTTTTTTTTAAAAAAGAGTTTGCTAGAATTTTAAAAAATAAAGTAAAAAAAAAGCTTCCCTTGACTGCTGTGTATAAGTGGAAGCAAGATGTCAAAGGCTCACAAACTTCTCTGACTCTTCCACTAAACTGTAAGCTTCTTGAGGCCAGAAATCGTATTTTTAATTAGTGTATCCACAGAGTCCAGCACTGTGCCTGACAGCAGATGCTCAATATTAATGAATTGAAAAAATGGATGGTGAGGCCAGTATTCCAACTTAGGTTTTCAAAAAAGGCTCTACTCAAGTACCCCATCTCCGACATACAACCCTTCAAAGACTATCTCTCCATCTACACCCAAGACTAATTGGATATCCCGCTTTTTGCCTCCAGTGCATTTGTGGTCAATTGTATTTTCCAAAATATCTAATAACCGGCATGCTCTTATTACACTCTAACTTTGATGCTTCCATTGAGAAGTGAAGTCTAGTTCCCTTCCCTTGGATTTGAGGTGAGGTCATAAAAGGTGGTTCAGCTTCCTTCTGGTCCTCTTGGGATACTTGCTCTTGGAACCCAGCTACCATGCTTTGAAGAAGCCCATCCTGCCCTGTGTAAAGGCCTACATGGACAAGAACCAATAGCCAGGATTGACTAGCCAGCCATGTGAGTGCGCCATTTTGAAAGTGAATCAGCTTTCAGCAGTACACCCAGTTGACACCTTTCGGGATGGAAATGAGCTGTCCCCACTGAACCCTTCCCAAATTACAGATTCATTAGCAAAATAAATTATGGTGGTGGTTTACGACATTAAGTCTTGAGATGGTTTTGTTAAGCAGGAATAGGTAACTGGAATAGCATTCTTTGTTTATCATGCAGGCAGGTGGTACCACTCAGTAGTTAAGTACGTGGCATAAAATTGTCTTGGTTCAAAGCCTATCTCTGCTATTTACTAGTTGTGTGACTATTTACTAGTTAAGTAACTTTGGCAAGTTACTTAACCTCTCTATGCTTGTTTTCTGCTTTTTTCAGTCTAAATAAAAACAGTACTTAAGTTTTTTGTGAGGATTAAGTGATAATGCAGGTAAATGTAGATCTGCAGGTAATACAGATCAATCTTTGTGATCATCTCACACAAGCCTCTGACCATATAACCATCCCTCTAATGTGATTCTAGTTTTTGTCTTTATAGTACTTTTGATATTTGCGTATATGTGTGTTTATATATGTATATATACAAATATAAAGCTTTTAGTACAATCTGAAATTATCTAGTTGAAATTATCTTAGCTAGTTGTTTATGTTAACAAATGATTTTATCTAGTTGTTTGTTTATCTTAAAGTGTAAGTCCCAATAAAGCCGGAGCCTAGCATGTCGTTTTCACTGCTGTATTCCCAGTACATGGAACAGTGCCTGGCACAAAGTGCTTAATAACTTTTTTATGAATGAATGGATGAGTAGAGCATTCACACTTCTTGTGGAAGACATTACTAGTTTCTACCCAGTATCCATTCTCTCCTTCCCCAGTAGTGGACCTTGCTTTTGTTGTGGATGTCAATATATAAAATACTGTCCCAGATTCCATTGCAGCTAAGGGTTGTTGTGCAATGCATTTCCTATCAATGAGATGTAGTCAAAGGTCTGCTAAGGATGTCTGGGAAATTTTTTGCTTTGATACAAGCATTGTCCTTGGTCATTGTCTTTTCTTCCTTCTTGCCCACAAACATGAGTGAAGTAGAACAACCAAAAAGACCATAAACATGAGAACAAAAACAGGAGCTATCTGAGACATCAATGAACTATTGAGTGGAGTCACTACACCACACACATTCTTTGTGAGGAAAAATTAACCCCTTGTAGTTAAACCTCAGCAGTCTTCTGTTACTTGCAGCCAAATATATCCTCAACTATGGTAGAGTAGTTGGTAGAGTATACTATGGTAGAGTAATGTCTACCCCTCTAGGCTGTTTACTAAGGGCAAGGGAATGTTTCATCTTCCTTACCATTCTGTAGAAGGATTAGAGGAATTTATCAACACAAATGTTACTATTGGGATCTCTTCAGCTCTCTTCAAATAGTGAGAGTGACCAAGTAGCAAGGGTCACCACATTATCACAAATTGTTTGGCTTCTGAGTTTAGACCTCTTAAATAGCAGGGGTTATGTGTACCATTCATTCCTGAAACGTGTTCATCATACTGTTGGCCAGGCATTATATGGCTGTTGGGGATACAGAGATGATTAAGTCAGATGATTGAAGCTGGATGCCCAACTTCCCACTAAACATTAAGCTCCGACAGGGCAGAAGCTGAGCACTAATCCCAGTAAGAGATTTAATTCTAGCAATCTCTCTACCATCTTCTTCATCCTCTCAATTTTCTTTACCCCTGACTCCTTAATGGTTTCATTTCACTTATTCGTTTGCCAGCTTCCCCCCCTTATGCCTAGAATACTCAATACTTGCGCTGCGTATCTGTTCGTATTTTGAATGCCTAATCATTGACTTCCAAGGTCATTCAAGTTTCAAATTGTCTGTTTTCTCTACAACTAAATCTTCATATGCTTCTGCTGATCTGTCATAAAGTGGCTGTTCTCCCAATATGAAAACAATGTGAAACATCTATGTAGTTTACCTAAACTCAGATATGGGAGCTGGGTGCACTAACCTTATCCTGATCATGATTGGGTGTTGTGGTCATAAGCCCAAATGATAGATCCCCTCACTCAGATCCAGGGTACATACAGATCAGAATTTGAGACAGTAATAAAATGTTTTAGACTAGTCATGAACTTTGTCTTGAGAGTTAAAGCTTTAGGAATTGCTGCCATGGGAACATAGGTATAACAGGTTAAGGTACACCATTGAAACAAGTGCCAGGGATCCTGGGGCCACATTGTATCATCACCTTTGATATTTTACTTTTGAGGGCGTGTGTGTGTGTGTATGTGTGTGTGTATGTACATACTACTTAGAGGCAGGAGGTTGGGCCAGTTTGAGAGACCAATGGAAACTACAGCACCTTTCTCCAAAATAATACACATCTGCACAAACACACAATATTTAGAACCATTTCTACAGGTCTACCTGTGATTTGCTATGATGGTGGAAACTATTAAACACCATAATTTGGTCCTTTATGAGGACCATTTTCATTTACCTTTCGTGTGTGTTTTACTCCCATTGAGTAGGCAAGCTTCCTGCAAGGAACAGTAAAGAAAAAAACAAACAAACAAAAAAACCCTTTTTATTACCCAGGGATGTGTGCATATAGGGACTGAGGCTTGTGGAAGATATTTGCCAACGGAGTCCTTGGAAGCTGCTGTGATTTACTGAGGACAGGCAGCTTTCAATAATCTGCCACCCCCACCTCCCTCCAAAACAAGTTACCACAAGGGGACTTGGACCATACACTCATGTTCTTGCTAGGTTTTAGGCTAAGGCAATATTTACATATTCTTCATGTAAATATCCTCTCGGATACTTAGGGAATAAGGTAGTGCCTAGCAGAAAGCTTTATAGCCTCCCTACCCAAAAATGTCAGTAAATATTAATAAATAAATGCACTCATCTTAAAAATCTATGGCTTTACCCTTCCACAGCTCCATGCTTTACCCCATACACACCCATACCTGCAATCAGATCCTCTGTGCATTATCCCATGCATTTTATTTCTCAAACTAAACTCCTTTCCTGGCATGTGATTGTGGAAAAGATTAAAAACAGGAATAAACCTAATGTTAATAGAATAGTGGCCTTGTAGGTCTTACTTTTTTTTTTCTTTAGAACTTTCCCTCCCACCCATAAATTTCAATGAGGCCACCTTTAATCCTACCTTGTTTTCCCTCCTCCCGGCCCCTCTTCCTGACTGTGTAGGCAATTATAGCCACCTAGTGGCCACAGGGGGAGATGAATGACAGATTGCTCCCAAAAATCTCTGGTGAAAGGAAGAACCCCTATGGAGTAATTTTTGGTCTTGGATGTATGGGGAGCAAGGAAAGAAAACATGTGGATAGAGATTACAGCACAGGATCCAGACATCTTATTTCTTGGTCCCACCTTGCCTACACTAATTATTATAAACAGATAAATTCACTTAACATTTTAATTCAGTCAAAATTTATTGAGCAGCAGCTGTGTGCCTAACATTGGGAATACAGCAAGGAATATAGCAGGAAATAAGATGGACATGATCTCTGCCCTCAGGAGCTTACAATCCAGGAGCCAGCCAGCCAGCCAATTACAGCCATAATTTTAACACAGGTGATGATAGCTTGGAAAAAACAAGACAAATTCCAGAGATATTTAGGAGTTAGAGTCTACTTGGAGAGTGATTGGATGTGTGAGGAAAGGGCTGTTTCTGGCAACAGGTACTGAAGTAGGAGATGCTGGAAGAGGGGCAGATCCCATAGGCACAAGCCCTGAGGACAGCACAGGTCCTGTCCTCAGACAGGACAGGTTTGGTTCTCAAACAGTTTAGTGTTTAAATGAGCAAACAAGATACACATGAAAGCATTGCAGACTTGATTAAACATCAAAACAATTTAGATTATTCATAGACTCTTGCATTACATGGGACTGAATGGAAGCCCTCAGTCTCACAGTATGTTTAGATACTGCTGAAGCCAATTCAGATATCTCCACCCTTGTCCATCCCTTTCATAGCCCCTCAGAAAATTCCTATGCAGCCCACTCAGTGTCTCACAGGGGCCACCTTCCTCTGGGCCCTAATGCCTCACATCAAGAAGATGCACCGTTCCCTCCCTGCTTCCTTTTTGCCTGCTACTGTCAGGAAATTCACCTGGTATTCTAATTTTCCTCCCCTATGATTAGTTTAAATGGGACCAAATATGGTTGTAATATGTTGTTCTCTTTTGGTCATCAGGAGTTTTGACTTACTTAGCTCCTCTCTTTACCCCTGTCAAGCCCTCACTTGTAGAATCAACCTCTTGCAAAGTCAACCCTGCCTTTCTCATGTTCTCATGTTCCTGTGCCATTTGTCTCCCTTTTACTCCAAAATGTCCCACTCTGGATTTTATTTTAAAGATTTTATTTATTTAGAGAGAAGGGAGAGAGAAAGAGAGGGAGCAATGTGCAAGAGATACATCAGTTGGTTGCCTCTCGCGCAACCCAGCCTGCAACCCAGGCATGTGCCTTGACTGGGAATCGACCAGGAGACCTTTTGGTTCATAGGCCAGCACTCAATCCACTGGGCCACACCAGCCAGGACCAAAGTGTCAATATGGACAATATGGACTTTGGAATTGGGTTGACTTGGGTTTACATTCTGGTTACTAACTAGTATGCCTTTGTGCTATTAAATCTTGCAAAACTTCAGAGCCCTGGCTGGTGTAGCTCAGTGGATTGAGTGCGGGCCTGCGAACTAAAGGGTCATGGTTCGATTCCCAGTCAGGGCCTGGGTTGCAGCCCAGTTCCCAGCAGGGGACGCACGAGAGGCAACCGTACATTGATATTTCTCTCCCTCTTTCCTTCCCTTCCCCTCTAAAGATAAATAAATAAAATCTTTTCTAAAAATCTTGGAAAACTTCAAAAGATTTATCTATAGAATAGTGGTAATGGGTAGTTATATTAAATAGGGTATATAAAGCACATAGTGTAATATCTAACCTGAAATCCCTGGTAACCATTCATTTCCATTCTTTCCCTTGGGTTTCAGCTGCCAAATACTATTCAGAAGAGAGATTAGCCAGCTTTGTATGGCCAACGATAGGTATTTTCTATTTGTCTTTATAAACACCATCTTCCTGCAGCTATCCCATTTCCATCATTGCCAAAAAAAGTTGTTCCATCCCTCATCCTGTGTAAGACTTCTCTTTATCAAAAAGTTCTGCCTGAGCTCTTAGATCTGATTATGCTATATCTCTCTAATCCAAGATACTTTGTCTTCTTGTATCATTTTTTAAAATTAATTAATTTCTAGCATTCTCCCTAACTTTTTCAGAGTAAATTATAATGGAGCTGGAGAATCAGACCTTTAAATTTCAGAAGGGCATGGGAACCACAGGCCAGTTCCCCGAGTAGAATGGAGGTCAAGATCCAGACACACCTCCCCACCCAATCCCCATCTCTTTCCCTTAGGGTACAAAAACAGCCAAATAAAAAATGTCTGGAGTCTACACCAGCATATATCTCCTTTCCTATAGCTCTGTGAGGTCATCATTGAAGTAGAGCAGTATTGCAGGTGTGTGGAGTGTACCATCCATAGTGAGATAGTCATATTCTTCCTCCTCATCCCGGATCCCATTCTCTTCCAGGGTATGTTCCATGGTCAGGTTCTTCCCTTCATATTTCCATGTGTAGCTGGCAGCATGTGCATTATAGGGGAGATAGCGGTGTAGGATTTCCCACATTGATTCCAGGTCCCCCACCTGGAGAACACGAAAGTACCCCATTCCCAGAATTCTGGGTGGGCCACATACATACACACATACACATTCCAAGCAAAGGTCAGGAGCCCAAAAGATGATAGAGTTAGGATCAGAGTTCTCCCTTGGCAGATACGCTTCAGACACTCCACAGTCCCAGAAATGAAGTTGGAGCCCCAGCATGCCCTAAAGCCCTACCTGTCTCTATGGCAGCCACTTCTAATAGATGGCTCTAAGGGTCATTGTCACTGTCTGGTAACCTCATCCCCACAATAGGGTAGACTATTAAGAGTCTAATTTCAATTGCTCTCCCTCGGCATGTAAAAGCTTACAAGGATCATCAACCCTAAGATGTATGAATTGCTGCCTTGAGCTTATGAAGGAGTCTTGTACCCTGTAACCCAGCCACTCCTCGAATTCCCAACCATGGGGACTTAGGTGGTCTGCTTTCCTCGCTTTTACCTACAGGGGGAGAAAATACAGTTCCCATCGGTTTGGGAGAGCTGATGGCCTGAAGATCTATTTGGAGATTTGCTGGGATACCCAGTTCCCTCTAACCTGCCCTCAGGCACGAGTTCTCACCTCCAGTGTGTGCTCCTGCGACGTGAGCGTGTTAATTATACGGATGTTCCGGGTCTTGGCTGACAGCCGCCCGACTTCGTAACGTGACCCCTGCCACCAGGGCTTCCCGAAGTCATTGGCCCAGTCGGAACGGGGCAGCTGAGGTGGGACGTGCAGAAAGCGGCCCCGAGGGGTGCGGTATCTCTGGGAACCAGTCAGCGGATCTATGTGCTTGCGGATCTTTAACGCAGGGTTTGGGGGCGAGGGGTAGAGTAGTGAACCTCTCGGGCTCTGGCTAGCCCCTGATTTTCCTCCCCATTCCTCCCCCTAACACCAGGCAGAACTCACGTCTCTGGTCTTGGGATCAAACCAGTGGCTGATGTCCTGGCCCGCAACTTCCACGATGGGTTTCAGCAGCAGATCTCCTGGGAAGGAGCAGCCGCCGCCATTGGTGTCTGCCCAAGAAGTAGGTACCTCAAATACACACCCCGAAGCTGACCCAAAGTGTGGCCCTTACCTTTGTACTCTTGCGCCAACGGCGTTAGGTCATATACATATCCCAGGTAAGACACCCAGAGGTCTTCCGGCTGGTTGTGTTGAGCCACCTCAACCGGCGTGAAATATCGACGCTGGAAATACTCAAAGTCTGGCCCAGCCACTAGGCCTCGGCGTGGCATGGTTATTGCTCCTTTAAGTGGTTCCCTCGCTCCTCAGCACGCACTCAGTACTGCATTCTCCCTCGTCCAGGTGCTAAAGTGAGAGCGTTTACCCGCTGACATGGAAACGATTGTCCTTTTCCAGCCACCGTCCACAGAGATCCCACCCTGGGTGGGTGAAGGGTGGCGTGTGCTCATGGGAAATGTAGTCCGACATTCACTTTTCAAGTAATTCCTCGGGAGTTCCGGGTTGAAAGTGAGCGCACTGTTCTAATTCAGAGTATCTGGGCTACGAGGGATATTTAGGATAGAGTTTCTCCCGAGGCAGAAGAACAAGGGGGACCTGCGCGTTTATGAAAAAAATATATTCTTGCTAAATTCCAGGGGGTTTCAAGAATATGTAAAAAAAAAGAAAAACTGGAGAAAGTTTCTCGCGATATCTCAATACATCCGGCGTAATAGCTCTCAGTAAACCACAGCGTCGGAGAAGCTTTAAGATCGCGAGATCTACAGTTGCCGAGGAGACTAGGAGGCGATCTCGCGAAAGAAAAGCTGCTTGGAGAGCTCGCGATATCTCAGACCACCGGACCCGAAAGGTTCTCAGAGAGTTGAAGGGCCTGAAGGAGGCCTCGGGACAAATGGCTGGAGCTGGGTCGACCATGCTGCTACGAGAGGAGAATGGCTGTTGTAGCCGGCGTCAAAGCAGCTCCAGCGCTGGGGTTAGCGCGGGCTCGGGTTCCGAGATTAAGGGGCAGTTGGGGAGTAAAGTGGGGGGGGGGGGGGGGGTGGAAGGGGGACTGCAGCTCCCGGCAGCCTCTGGGGTTTGTGTGAGTCCCCCACGGGCTGACGGGAGCTGTGGTTCTGTGGGCGGGCAGTAGCCCGGGCGGTGTGATTTGAGCGCGTGTCCTGCCCTGCGCAGGACTCAGACGGGGAGCGCGAGGACTCGCCGGCTGCGCGCGCCAGGCGGCAGCTGGAGGCTCTACTCAACAAGACTATGCGCATTCGCATGACAGATGGACGGACACTGGTTGGCTGCTTCCTCTGCACCGACCGCGACTGCAATGTTATCCTAGGTTCGGCGCAGGAGTTCCTCAAGCCTTCGGGTCAGTGCCTGGGAAATCCACCGCCTGGGAATGCGGTGGAGCCTCAAGGCATTTCCCTTTCCGTTTAGTGCCTGGCTGCACCCCTTATTTTCTGGGGCTGGAAGTCTTGGCTCAAAAGGGGCGGGACCAACGCTGTCCTACCCCCTGATGTTCTGACCCTTCTTTCCAGATTCCTTCTCTGCTGGGGAACCCCGTGTGCTGGGCTTGGCCATGGTACCCGGACATCACATCGTTTCTATTGAGGTGCAAAGAGAGAGCCTGGCAGGGCCTCCCTATATCTAACCACGATCGCGCATGCCTTTCAGACTTAATTAAACTTGTAACCAAAGTGGCCGCTGTGTATGTATTTGGGTTGCCTGGACAGAGATCTCCCACCCCGCCTCTAGAGGGGAGGTTTATCTTAAGTCGGAAGCACTGTCAACCCTCCTTCCACAACCTGGGCGACCATGAGTGCCAAATGCCCCCCCAGGTTCGCTGGCGGGGGTGGACGACAGGCTGAGCCTCGGACCAGTAGGCCCCAGGGTGGACCCCTGCATCTTCCCTCCCACGCTGCTGCTCCAGAATTGTGGCGGGGGTGGGGAGTGGGCGGAGGGGTGTCATCCTGTTCCGGAAGGCCCATTGTTTCCCTCCCCGGCCGGCAACACCCGAGTTCCTCTAAGCTGGGGTCAGAGAACGGGCTCGGGTCCCCAAGGGGAGCAGGGCAGGCGACAAAAGCCAGGGCCCGTCCACTATGTTGATGGGGAGGTTACTTTGGGGTAAGGGACAGAGCTCGGGTCTGGCCAGGAAGAGCAAGCTAATGCGGTAAGAGAAAGCTGAGAGGCTGAAGAATGCTCCCTTCTGCACACTTGAGCCGCACACCCCCTCCCATGTTTCCTGCCTCTGGGCACAGGAATGATCGTATTTGTACCACCCCTCTGTTCACAGAATCCCAGAAGCACAATCAGTTAATTAATTCTTTATTAACATGTGATCACTCCTCCTCCAACCTCACCCTCGGACCGGTAAATACTAGAGGAGTTGCAGCAGAAAAGGAGGGCACCAAGGATGTTCAGTTGTCAAATTCACAAAGGCGGGGGGGGGGGGGGGTGCAGGGTCCAGCCCAAATGTTCAGGATTCAGATATGAGTAGTGAAAAGAAAGGGTTTTCCAGGGTGTGGCGAATTTTTACTAGCACTGGGTCCACAGATGCTGCAGTTCACCAGAGGGGATGCTAGGACCCCGCTTAGGCAAGGGGTGGGGCCAAAACAGGTCGGGAGACCCCCGGGGGTCTTCAGGTCCTTAGGTCTACTGAAGGGCAGGCAGTCGTCAGGGTTCTTGATCAAGGGTCTTCAAACCCATACCTTTCCTGATGTGGGGACGGCTTGGGACCCTGGTGAGGCCCGGATTTGCTGCACTGGCGGGGTATGCCGACGCCGATAGAGGGCTCGGCTGTAGGGCACGAGGCAGTCGGCTAAATGGAGGCGCAGACAGAGGCGGCGATAGCTGGCCAGGGCAAGCACGAGCAGCGGCACGAGAAGCAGGAATCCGGTGACCAGCAGGGCCGTGAAGCCTGGGTCCCGCAGGTGCGCGGTGCAAGGGGGTGCCTGGGAGCGCAGAAACTGTAAGAGGCGTCAGGCTCAAGTCGAACAGCCCAGGCTGGGAGATGTGATCCATACACCCACTGCCACCATACACCCGCACACCCTGGGGCACCCGCTACTCACCTGAGAGTGGCAGAGAAAGCCGAAGCCTAGCATGGTGACAGCGGGTAGCAGGATGGTTCCCAGCACGAGCGCCAGTAAAACAAGATTGAAGGCAGCCACAAGCAGATTCTGGGCGGTGACCAGCACAGCGCAGGCCCAGCAGTCCAAGGGGTCCCGGGGCTCTGGACTGCCGCTGGGAACCGGTCTCTGGGCCCCGAGGACATCCGCCATGGCCTGCCTGGATTCTGCCCGCCTGGGCCACAGCCCTTATAGCCTTCTTTCCTGCCCCTCCCCCGTCCCAGCCTCTCCCCACCCCACCCCACCCCCCTCATCCTGGAATGCGGCTCCAAGAGTAGGCAGCCCCCATTTAGAGGAGCAGACCAGAGATCTGGACATTCCAGAGGCAACTCTGGGGAGGGGAATAGCCCTGGCCGGGGTCTGCGCAAATCTCCCCATCAATCACGGGCTTGCAGCCCTCCTCCCAGTATTCTCCCTATCACCAGCACACTATAAACAGGATTTTTCTTCTGGTTTTATTTTTAATATTAATATTCTCACACAAAAATCACCGAAAATAGGGGTAGGATTGGGAAGACCCCTCTGCCCCTGGGACAGAGAGACAGTGCAGTGCGAAGGGGCGGGACTGTAAACCCCCCACCCCTCCGCAGCCCCAGCGTGGAGAAAAAACTGACAACAGGAAAATAAAGCCCCAGAGGAATTCTTCTGGGGCGTCCCTGCACCAGGGAGGCTCTGGCCCTGGGCTGTTTCATGTTTAAAAAGAAAAGGAGCGTGGGGATGGCGGGCGTGAGGGGAAGATCTGTGTTTTTAAAATTGGCCAGGGCTGGGAAGGATGGGGTTCCTTTTCCTCATAGTTCTTTCTTTAAAACTTTAAATTTTTTTTATTTTATTATTATTTTTTTTACAAAATACGATTTCAGTTCCCACTTCTTCCCCTACAGTACAGGAGTCGCTCACCCTCAGGCAAGGTTGGGGTTGGGGCAGATGGGGCGGAGGGACTTGTCCGAGAAAGTGCAGGACGTAGGGGAGGGGAGCGGGTTTGAGCACCATGAGAACCCGGCTGAAGCCGCGCGTGAGTGGAGACGTTCAGGCCAAACTGGGGCTTAGGGAGAGCCCGGCGGCGGGCGGGCGGCCCCTGGAAGGATGGGTAGGATGGCTTAGGGGGTGCAGGAGGTCGGGTTTTCCCAAAAATGAATAAATAGGTGAGTGGGACTGTTATAAATTAAAAACAAAAACAAACAAAAAATCCAGAAAATACAAATCATAACCAAGTGAATAAACAGAGACATGTACAGGGATCACAGCTAGCACTGGAAATAAAAAGAGGTTCTGGGGGAGGGGTAAAGCCCATAGAAAGAATCTCATTAAAAAAACCTCGGCTGCCATAACACCTATGTACATACACGAGCCGCGCGCATCTGCGCCGGGCAGGCGGCTGGCAGGCGTGAGGGAACCCGTATGTGACCCCCGCCGCCGCCGGAGCCTGGTCCTTGTGTCTGTTGCTAGAAAGGCCAAAGTCGGTGAGGGGAGGTGCTGGTGGGCGAGGGGCAGCCAGCCAGCCCCCTCCCCCCGTCTCCCTTTTTTTTTTCCTTTTTTCCTCATATTTGTTAAAAAATTTTTTTTCTTAATAAATTAAGTGAAGGGGAGCTGCCAATGGGGTGGAAGGGCTGGGCCCGACCCCCTTCCCGGCCAGAGGCGGGACCTAGGTCCAGCCCAGGCGTGTGCTGGTGGCCCCGCGGCGCCCTGCGGAGGGCAGGCGGGCGGGGCATCCGGCCTCATCGAGACGTGCTGGCTGGGGCCTGCGGAGAGAAAGCGGTAGGGGGTGGGGGCTCAGGGGCAGGGGCGGGTTGACCCACCCCACAGCCCGCCCCCCCATAGGGGCTTCCAGCCCGACAACCTGCCCAGCGCGACGGCACCAGGGCCTCACCAGCGTAAAGGCGTCGTAGGTCTGCGCCAGCTCCTCTGTGCGGTACTGCTCCAGCACCACCACGCCCTGGAGGCCGGCGCTTCGGCGCCGGGCACAGGCCTCGCAGTGCACTAAGTAAGTGTTGCGGCTGCCGTTCTCACTCGTCACGAACAGGATGTTGAACACCTCCACCTGGGAGAGGGAGGAGTGGTAGTCACCAGGAGGAGCGCCCCTGGGAGCTCCCTCCTCCAGAGAAGCGCATAAGAGGGAAACGGCCCACTCACGTCGCACTCGTTGCAGTAGTAGGCAGGCTCATCCTTGACCCGGCCCTGGTAGGCGATTTTCTTTCCTGCCCGCACCAGGCTCTCCCGTTGCACCTGGCAGTGCTTCATGGACTGTAGGAGGCAGAACCTGGAGGGGGTGGGTAATGGGTGGGGTGGAGGGAGGGGTGGGTGTGAGGCACGCCCGCCAGCAGGACAGCGACCCTTATCTTCTGGGCGCCACCCACGTCCAGGTCACATCACCTGAACTGGGCTTCTAAAACAGTTGAAATTTTATGTGTGCCTTTTTCTGTTTGGGTCACTGTCAAACAAAACAACTCAGCAGTAGCCCTCTCACCCACCCCAGCACTGTAACACTACAGGGTGCATCCTGTAATGGGTGGAGAGAAAGATGGAGAATGAGGTTCCATCTGACATGCAGGACAAGGCTGGGACCAGGTCTGGTGGAGATGGGCTCCCTCCCAAATAGAACCCTCACTTGATCATCTTGAACAAGTCAGGGTCGCTGATTTTCACGGTACGAGCCACGTTCCAGGACACATGAATCATGGGCACAATGGATTTGACGTTCTTCACCTCATTCCACTCGTATCGTTCCAGGGCCAGCTGGTACTGATAGGCTGCAAGCCAGAAGGGGTCACTACAAGATTCTCAAACAACCCCTAGCCCCTTCCCTCACAGCTGGCTGCCCTCCCAGCTCCCCACAAGGAGGCTCCACCCCTCAACACTGAGTAGCTCTGTACCCCACTCTCACCGGTGAGGGGCCCAACGTTCCAAGCAATGTTGTTGCACCAGCCGGTGGCCTGCACCCAGTGCACGGTCCCCGCGTTAATCCACACGAGGTCTCCAGGGCGCTGCACGAAGCGGTACACAGGGATATTGGAAGCATAGAGGTCATCCAGGATTGGCCACCAGGAACCTGTCAGGTAGTCCACACCATGCCTGCGGGGTAGCCACAGGGTCAGATGGGAACCCAGAGCTGGGACATAGGGAGTGAACCTAGTGTGAGGTGAGAGAGCGGGGGGGCGGGGGGGGGGAGGAGGGCACGCACCGGTCACAGAAAGCACTGATGGTTTCCCAGTAGTGCTCATGCACCGCGAACCACTCACAGTCGCCTGGGCCAATGTTGATGTTGACGGAGCAGAAGTTGTTGTTCTCTTGGTGGCCTGCAGGGGGCAAGAGACAATGCCTGGCTGGTCTAGACAAGCAAAGCCTGGCTGGGCTCCATTACAAACCCACCCTTCGGCCTTCATTGGCTAACGAAGCAGCGTGGACACCAGCCCTGCCCCCAGTACGCTTCAGCACCTGGTGTTCTGCTGCCAGGGACCTTCATGTACAGCTGCACCGTGTTCATGCCCAGGATCGTGTGGCCCACGTGGCTTAGCATGTTACCAGTGGATGTTACCCGCATGAAAGCAGGCAGCTTCAGCAGCTCCTGCAGTTGTGGCTTCCACCTGCAGTCAATAAAAGTGAGAGGTTAAACCTGGATCTGCAGACCCATCAGCACTCCTGCCCCAGTTTTGCTGGCCTCTGCCCCACTGACCGCTTGGCATCAGACAGGTCGATGTTGGTGCCAAACTTGATAATGTGATGGTTCTTCGGATCTGGTGTGCTGCTGCAGGGGCAAAGAGCACACATTGGTGGAGAAGTACGGAGAAGGGAAGAAGTCATGAAAAGAAGGGCAGACTGTACAATACCTAGGAGGGGTTCCTGTGGTGCTGTCTGGCTCCTCGGACTCCTCATCCTCACTCTCCTTCTCCTCCTGCTCGGCCATAGGCTGGGTCAGCCACCTTCCAGGAGCTCTCCCACAAAAGCCCTTCTCCAAGTCCCCTGATCCCACACCCCTGCCTCCCTATGCTCGCCTCTCACCTGCAGGGACTCCTGGAAGGATGACGCCTGGTACTGTGCATATTTGGCAATGGTGGTATGGGAACGAGAACTCTCACAGGGCCAGATCTGTCGAGTGCCCGTCAGATCCCAGTTCTCATCTGAGGGCTGCTGCACCTGGGTGCGCACTTCCACAGTGTGCTCGCCACTTGCTTCCACCAGAGTCTTGGTGGAGAAAAGGCCCAAGTCTGCAAGGGAGGGCCGAGCAGGGCATTGGGGCGGAGGCAGAGGGCAGGGAGCAAGGACTCAACTCACTCTGTCCCTTCTTACTCCCCAAGCTCTGACAGAGTGGACACAGGCTTCCCCGAGGTCAGCCCCAAAAGACCCTAGCACCACAGGAAGGCTGGCCATCCATCACCAGCCCTCTTTCTTCCACTTCTTGTCTGAGCTTCAGCCCCACCACCAGAGTCCTCAGGTGTACGTGAGGCCACATGTGCACACAGAACCTGCTTAATGAATGGCAGATTCTTTATCATTGGAGGCAATGAAAGATTTAGTTAGTTAAGTGAAAGCCTAAAATGTGCTTTAAGTAACTCAGTGGAAGGAAAAACACAAGGGTATAGTGGAAACAATTGATTTTTATATTTCTATATGGTTCCCTCTACTTTTACACGTTTGAAATCTTGCACAATAAAGGTAAAGAGAAACCCCAGTTCATGAGTTTTCAAGAATACTCTACAATCTGTATTTTTTCTCACCCTTCATCACCAAGAAAACCAAAAGTGACTCTAACCAGGCCCTGAGATACATCCCCTCCCCACATGCCCACTATTGGAGAGAGATGGAAAAAAAGCCTGGGATCAGCTGACCCGTCATTCTGAGGACCCTTCCAATATGGGCCTACCTGTGACTGAGAAGAGGTCTCTATAGCTTCTCTTCTGGGTCTTAAAAATGTGGGGGCTCTCAAAGCATCCCAATGCCCCAAAGCTTTACAGCCCACCCCCACCTTCCTGCTCCACACACTCACTTAGCCGCAGGGAACCTGCCAGGCCCCGGATCACGGTGATGGGATTTCGAGGGTCTGTACAGAACTGCAGCAGCACTGGTGAAAAGGCATCCCGTTTGCTTTCCAGCTGAAGGACAACCAGGAGACAGGGCTAGATCAGAGCCCTGGCCCAGGCTCAGAGAACCCCAACAGGCCTCCCTGTGGCAGGGGCACACGTACATAGATGCTGGGTGTGGGTGGGTTGAGTTTCTCCCTAGGCAGCTTCTCCTCAGTGTTGATCTTCGGTTTCACAGACTGAGCAGGGGAAAGGTAGGACTCTCTAAACTTCCCTTTCACCTTGGCATTCCTGCAGGACAATGAAATGAGGACGGAAATAGGATAATGGGGGAAGGGAGCCTCCCACCCAGCCAGGTCAGCAGCCTTATGGGTGAAAACCCCTAACTCACTTGCTGGCACGCACAACATCAGCAGCACAATGGCTGATGGTGAGATCTGCCATTCGCAGCCTCCGCTCTTCCACCTCAGAGGCGATAAAGGTCTCCTTGTCACCACTCTCTACCTTGATCAGCCGGATCTTCAGCTCCTTGGGAGGCCCTTCACTAAGTGATCGCAACTTCAGCATGTCAGCCCGGCTGACACCTGGTGGCCCTGGAGCTTCCTCCCGAGACTTCTTCCCAGGGACAGGGGTTGATGCAGGTGGGGGCTGGGCAGAGGGTGCAGGCGCTGGAGGAGGGGCAGCAGCTGTGGGTGGTTTAGCCTTAGAGGCCCCACCAATATCTGGCCGGGCCTTCTCACGACCCTGGATCTCCTCGCTCTGCAGGTCCAGGTTCCCAAGCACCCGGCGGCTCTTTTCTTTGGGGGCCTTGGCCTTTGCCCTACCCTCACGGGGCCGCCGACCCATAATATCCCTACAGGCCCGCCTGTGCCTCTTATGCTCCTTCTGCTGCCGCTTGCCTGGTCCTGCTACTGCCACCACCCCACCACTCTCTTCCTTGGCCTGGGCAGGAGGCAGCAGTCGTTCAGTCCCACTGTCCACTGGGTCTGTCGTGTCCACAGGATCTGCCTTGTCCACTGGGCCTTCTGGGTCTGTGGCACTCCAGCCCACCCGCTCCACAAGGGTCTCACAAGCTCGACTGATCTCTTCTAGCACCTCAGACTCAGAACGAGCAGGGGGCAGAGGGAGGGGTGGGGGCGGTGGGGCAGGGTTCAAGGGGCCCAGAGCTGGCTCTTCGCCTGCCCTGTGCTCCTGCACCCAAGGCCCACCTGAGGTAGAGAACTGAGATGACGAGGAAGCAGAGGGCTGTGGGGAGCCCTGGGCGCTAGGAGCCACTGAGGTTGGAGGTGGGGCGGTAGCACCTGATGGGGGACTGGGGGAATACTGAGTGGTGGGCAAGGGCCCAGGACGGGTAGAAACAGCTGCTCCAGACCCCCGGTAACAGTACTTTTGTCCCTCTAGCACGGAGGCCAAGGATTTGAGCAAACTGGCTGGGTTGGCTGCTGTGGGTAATGGGGGTGGCGGTGGCTGCGGCTTGGGGGGTGGAGGGAACTTGGCTAATGGAGGTGGTGGTGGTAGGGCTGGTGGTGGCTTCTTCTCCTGTTCTTGGGTGGTGGTGGTGGTTGTGGCAGCGGTGGTGGCAGCAGTGGTGGTTGGGGCTGTGTCAGTGGGGAATGGAGGCTGCAGGGATGCAAAGGGCTCCTTCAGGGGGGGCGGGGGATCTACGCCTGTCTCCTGTTGTTGCTGCTCCTCCTCCTTGCGAATGGATTCATCCAGCATCTTCATGATGTTGGCCAGCCCATCGGGTAGGATCTTGAATTCAGCGGGCTCTTCAAACTGATCCTCCATTTGGGTAGAGGGAAAATCAAAGAGTCGCGTGCCTCGGGCAGGCAGTTCCCCAACTGTCGGCTGCACAGGTTGGGGGGCTTTATTCAGGGGGCCTGGAGATGGCCCTGGCCCCACCTCGGGGGTCTTTGGGAAGGAGACCCTGGGCCGAGGGCTCTCCGGGCGCCTGAAGCTTCCTGAGGTATTTTGGTGGCAGGAGGAAGAAAGGGCTGGAGGCAGGGCAAGAGTGAGGGGTGCAAGAGGTGGGTCCTGGGGGCTCATTGTTGGGCTGGGGGGCCGGGAAAGGGGGTCCATAGTTCTGGCCAAATAGGGAGGTGGGGGGAAGGACACAGGCCCAGTAGGGCTGCTGCTGTGACTGCCATTGCTGCCGCTGCTGCTGGTGGTTGGGGGAGTAGGAGGGGTGTGCGAATCCTGAGTGCCCACAGAAAAACGGGGGGCCAGAGACCCCAAGAAGCCCTCTCGGTGTGGGAAGGGTGGTGGAGGAGGGCGAGGGCGTCCCTCAGCCCCAAAGAAGAGATCCTCTATGACCTCTCCATCTTCATGGGCTGACCGGCAGGCCGGGCCCTTCAGCCAGGCAGGGGGGTGTGGGGGGCGTAAGAGGCGGGGACAGGAAGGTGGAGGAGGAGGTGAGGGGGGTCCAGGTGGCAGAGACAGATGAGGAGTGGCAGCAGGAGCTGCCAGGAAAGGTTTCCGACTGCTATGTGTCGAGGGCCCCAGGCGGCCTTGGTGAGAGGTGACCTCCAGCGCGGGAGTTTGGTAATGGTCAGCGCTGGGCTGCAAATGAAGGATGGGGTTGGTCAGAGGTTTGCTAGAGTCAACTCAGACAAGCACCCAATGATCACCCCACTCCATATTCCACCTGTGGTGATCACTCACAATGCCTGGGCTCGGCTCCATGCCCCGGAGACCAGTGTTGTTGCTGCTGCTGCTACTGCTGCTGCTGGTGGTGCCAGAGAGGCTGGGGGGCCGGGAAGGGGCATAAGGCACACAGGCGGTGGTTGCTGCTGGTGAAACGCTGGAGTCCATCCGCGACCTCTGAACTCTGCTCTCTCTAAGGTCACTTCCGGGGGGACGAGTGGCAGGAGGGCAGCCATGGCTCTCTGCTCCTGGGGGGCGGGGACTTGGGCCTAGGAGTGCAGCCGGGACCAGCCGGTGGCCAGGGGGTTGCGCAGTGTAGGCTGGAGCTGGATATGGATATGGGTGAGGCAGCGAATGCCGCTGCTCCTAGGGGAGACAAATAAGGACACTGAGTGAGGAATGAAGGATACACAGGCTTGCGAGTGAGAGAGAAGGGTCAACAGACATGTGCCCACCTGGCGCTCTGGGGGTGCTGAACCCTTGCGCTCGGAGCCCCAGGCATCTCCGTGCAGGGTACTCCACAGCCCTGGCTTGGTCAGCTGAAATGGAGGGCTGGTGGCTAGGCCAGGCAGGGGTAGGGGTGGTGGTGGTGGTGGTGGCGGCGGCGGCGGTGGTGGCGGCGGTGGTAATGGTGGTGGTGGCAGTGGCAGCCCTGGGGGAAGGCCAGTCTAGAAGAAAAAGGAGTGTGAGAATCCCATTCCTTGCCCCATTCCTCCTACCCACTGTCTACCTGCCCACATACAACCACACCTGCTCGGAGTTGCAGCCTCTCCTGCGCTTGCCTCCAGGGCTGAGGCCGTCCTCCCCTGAGGGGCCTGAGAGTACAACAGGAGGCACAGGCTGCACCACTGGGGATTCAGCGGCTCGCTTCACTGGGGGACCCCCCCGCTTGGCCCCATAGTTCCGCTTGTGCTGAGGACAAAAAGAGAGAAGAGAGAATGGCTCAAATGCATACCTGGCCCGGCCCTCTTCCCTAGCTCACCCAACCCTGGCCTCACCTCAAGGTGCAGCAAGTTCCATACTTGCTCCAGTGGGGGCAGGACCTTGGCTCGGTGCTGGCAGGAGCCAGCATGAAAGTTCCAGAGCTGGGCCTGGTGAGGTAGGGGAAGGGTGCAGAGGACAGGATAGAAGCAGGCATGAGATGAGGGCACTGAGTAAGAAGGCACAATCTTCGTTTCTTAGTGTCCTGCCTCATCTTACCTGCTGTAGTCGGCTGATGTGGGGCCCCAGCTCAGCCAAGCTTCCTCCATATCGAAGGGCGCTATGGTAGCAGCGTACGGCCTCCTCAGTGTCATGCTCTGACTCATACAGCTGCCCAAGCTGCTCCCACAGCCCTGGCTGGGCTGGCTCCCGGAGCAATGCCTGCACACAGCCATGCAGGGATTCCAGCTTTCCATGGAGGGGCCTTGGGGTGGGTGTCCTACAGAGCCAAAGGGGTTGAGAGGAGGGGTTATAAGGGTTGGGAAACTCTTTTGAGGACCCAGTTTTACCTCCCATCCCCAGCACCTGTGAATCCTCACTCACCCTGGAACATAATATGGTTTGTTGTGGTGCCCAGAGCTACTGCCATGTGAAGAGGATAGGGGAGCAGAAAGTGGGGGCTGCCCAATGCTGGCAGAGCACCTGGAAAGAGAATGGGTGTGTTAATGTACATCAAGATGGAGCACTCTTGTCCCTATGGAAAGAAGGAGGGCATTGGGAGAGTAACAAAAACTAGATGAAGGCTACAATGAGGCCCACTGAATGACAGACACCCAGAAAATGACAGAGACTGAGGGGCACAGGAGATGGGAAGACAAATTCCTGGAGACAGAAAGATGGCCCAAGTTCTCACCTGCCTCCAGGCAGCCATGCACTACGAGGAGGGGGGTGGGGTGGGCAGGAGCTCCAGGCCCCAGCACAGCTCAAGCCCCCAAGGGCAAAGGCTTCCCGTGCAGCGCGGGCCCCTGGAGGGTCCACTGCCCGATGCATCCAGCCTGAGTCAGGGAAGAGATTATTGTCTTACTGCGGGTATAGCCTGAGCTGCCTGTATACACACAGCCAATCCAGCCCTAGTCTTTCCCTTACCAGGTCAGCAGTGGCCCCAGGAGCCCTGGAGATCGGGCACGGCCCCTTGCCCCAGCTCTCTGGGGCGATGGTCCCAACTCCAGCCGCTCTGACAGGAGAGCCCACTGCCCCCAGATAGTCGTCCAGGGCCTTTCACAGCTAATTCTACAGAGAGGAGGAAGCAAAGGAGTGAAGTAAGCTGGCCAGAACACGGTCAGGGTTCAGGGGCTGGGTTGGCCTGGGTGGCCTGGCTGCGGCATCAGGCAGGTCTGTCATCGGGAGTCAGGCCTTGGCTTTCCCTGACGGTCAGGAGTCCCTAGAGGCCTAGAAGAGTGGTTAGGAACCCGGTGTAGTAGCAGCGAGTGGAACAAGTCAGTCAGTCGGGAGCCCATAGATCTGAAGCCGCAGGGGCTTACCCGGCCTCCGGCCTCCGTGGGAGCGTCCTCTCACAGTGTCAGTGAGCTCCAGGAATCCAGCCAATCACAAGACTTCCTCTCTGCCCAGAAAGCCAATCATCACCCGCGTCTCCGCCTCAGTAACAGCCTGCCCGGAACCAATAGGAACAAAGTTAGCCCCACCGCAGCGGGCTGGAGGAGGAGGGGCGGCGGAGCCGGACGGACAGGCTTGGTCCCGGGTGACCCCAACGTGACCCAGCAGCTCCTACCTAGGGTCTCCATCTCAAACCTGACACCGGGGGCCAGCGGTCCCTGTAACCGCGTGGGTAGATGCGGCAAGTCACACGCCTGGGCTAGCCTCGGGAATAGCTCTCCCCGTAAGTCCCACGCACCCACAGAGCCGCCGGTGCTCCCCACTAGTCTGCCGCAGAGACCTATCCCCAGTCCCACCGTCATAAGACCGATGGACCGTAGACAGATGCACAATGTTCACGAAGGCGTCGCTCGCCTTCCTCACTTCACCTCGCCCACAGCCTCACCTCCCCACTTCGCGTGCCCCTTGGGACTGCGTGGCCAGTCACAGTGCCTTCTACGGCACCCAAACCCACACTGCGATCTGACTGCTCCATTCACCACACTTTACCCCATCCCAAAACAGTCAGGCTCCCAGCCTCACACCCAGTACCTTTAGATCCTCCACTTCTTCTGGCTAAGTTTTCAATTACCAACTGACCCCCCAAAAACAAACCCCAACTTCTGAGAAGTCGCGCACCACGATCCCCAGTGGCCCCTCTCGCGTGGCTCCGGTATCCTCTATGCCCTTCCCCGCTGGGGCCACGCGGTTCCCCACGGCCCACGTGGCCCCCGCCCCCCAAGGGAGGGGGGATTTCGGGGGTTGCCCGTGACGTGGCTACTTGCGCAGCGGAAGCGGCGTGTGTAAGATAGGGGGGAGTCCTTAGGGAGGGAGGAGGGCGGGGCCCGACAGGCGGTGACATCACCCTTGTCCCACTCTCACCACCCACTCCCTTAAAGAACCAGAACCAGTTTCACTTCCTCCTTCATGCCCCCAAAGCCAACCCCCCCCCCATTCCCTTCGGTGCTGTCTCGACCCACAAAGGGCACAGCGCTCCCCTTTCCTGGGCACCTTCCCTTTAGCTCCAGTTCTTTTTTCTCGCCTCTCAGACCCCAGGATCTCGCTGCCCGTGGCTCCTCCTCTCCTACCCGGCGTTCCCTCAAGTAGGGAGCGCGCTCTGTCCCCGGGATCAGTCCATTGAGTCTAGAGTACAAAGAACTGCGAGAGGCAAGTGTCGAGTACAAAGCGGCGGGGGCGGGGCCAGCGCTCCAGCTGGAGCTCAGGCCGGGAAGGAAGCCGGGGGAGAACGAGCAACCAGGGGCTGGGGGCGGCTGGAAACTTCGCTTTCACTGAGAAAAGTCTGCGCTGTGGGGAAATTTCCACCAGCCCACAAGGGCAAACGGGTTTCTGGTGAATACAGTCCTCCCTCCACAGGGCAAGGTCATCTGTTTGCATGCGAGAGCTTGGACCCTACAGGTCCCGGCGCGCCACACCCCGCCAAGCCCTGCCAGATACTTAGGCTCTGCGGACCCTCTCCGCAGTTCAGGTGGAATTTCTGCCAGAACTCACTCTCTTCACCATACAGCCTTTTGGTCAGTAACCAAGCTCTGGGACATGTCCTGCGCTTCACGATGGTCAAGTATAGCCTGGCCGGCTGCTTCCCCTCACCCCCACGTCCTGAAAACTATGACCCGGGCATGGGAAAACGGGGAACCGGGGGTCCAGATATCAGATGCATATATCCCCGCTTGGGAAGTGATGCCGAGGAGGCTGCCAGTTACCAGGAAATGAAGCTTCCCCTTCTGCGATGATGACACTTCCCCTCTACCACTTCCCCTTTCCCACGGGGAACTGACTCAGCTTTCCCTAAACCGGCGAAGTCCCTCCCTCCAGCCCCTTCCCACCTTTAACCACCCCACCCCCTCCGGAACTAAAAAATACAGCAGCCATCACTAGAGGACAAAAACTTCCTGCATACTAAACTCACACTCACTCTCGCCAACCACCATGGATCCTTGTCCCGACCTGGGACACGGGCACAGACCCAGGCGCCTGACTCCCCACCCGCCTCCTTTACAAAGCCCTCCCTCGGGGTCTGATTCAGGCTTGAGGTGGGGAGCCGTGAGTCACCCAGAAAACCTTCCCCTATTCCCACTGACTCAGCCCCCGCCTCCCTGAAAACAGACACACAGTCATTGGCAGACACAACTCAGCCCACACACCGCTCACCACGGGTCCCGTGGAATTTCCCCTCTCGTCTTCCCTGACGACCGCCCCACCCTGCGCCTGGCAGCCCCGACGCCACTCTCACACCTGTTCCCCAGGCGCCGGCAGCCAGCTCGCCATCCACTCTCACCTCCACTCTCGCTTTGGGGCAGAAGCAGCCCTCCCAGACTCCCAGTTGTAACTAACCAAGGGGAGGGGACAATCACCGACGGGCACAAAAACAGACACCCAGACTCCTCAACGACAGATGAGAGGTAGATGCACACGGCCAAAGTCAGCCTGCAGGGCAGTATACTTGTGGGTCAGACATTCCAGCCTCTCCCGACCCACAGTCCCAGGAGTCAGCAGATCATAAAGGGTTAACGCCTCTCCAAACGAAGCCACGCCCTCTCCATCCGGGCACTCCCGGCTAAACCCAGCTCCGCCCCCTCCATCCGGGCTCCAGACTCCGGGACTTTAACTGACCCCCCCCTCCCCCTAGAGCCCCGAGAGAGACCCGCTCCATCAGTCACACCCACTTAACTCTCTCTGGGCTTAAAGCCCAAGAAGCCCCGCCAAGAACCGCTCCAGCCGCGCGGGACGCGGACTAAGGGGCCAGACAGGCTCACCAGACTCACAGGCTGACCTAAGACAAGACCCCACAAATAGGGTTTTACCGAGCAGGCAGTCAGCAGACGTGCTGCACGTGCGCGGAGGTGGGGCCCCTCCGGGAACTCCGCCGCACCCGCTCCCTGCCACTTTTCATTCTGCCGGGTGGAAGCGAGGGGTTACAGCTCGCTTCTTACCTGGGGGAAGGGGAGGCGGAGGAGAGGGCCGCCGGCTGGGGCTCCGCTGTGACTCAGCCACCCGGGCAGGCCGCCCGCTCGGGATTCCCTTCCCCAGCCTTCCCCCTGCTGGCCCCTCCCCGCCCCCCACCAAGGAGTGACAGTGCCTGCCTGGCCCGCTGTGTGTCACTGCGAGCCTTGTGTCTGCCTCTGACTGGACCGCTGTGTTCAGCAGTCTGTCTGACAAGGTCAGCTGTGTATTGGTCCCGGTGTGTGCCCCCGTGTGCACCTGCCTATCTGCTCATCTTGTCTTCCTCAGTGCCTGCGTCTGACGCGTTCCGTCATTATGCCTGTCTACATGACTCTGGGTGGCTATCTCTGTCTGTGTGTCTGCCTGGCTCCTGTCTCGGTCTTTTGTCTGGGTCTGCCTCTGCATCGCTTTCGTGATCACGTGTGTCTCTGCACATAACCTGTGTTTGCCTTCAGATCCTGAACAGTCAGAGAAACACTGGAGCAGACTGACCCTACTGATCGCTTAAATCCCGACGTCTTGCTGTTTGACAAGATCAAATCCTGGATCAGTGATCTTCCTGTTTGACAAGTATTTGGGTGTCTGCCTTCATTCAAGTTCTGTTTCAATATCCATGCCTCAATATCCTTGCTTAACCTCCAGTTCCCTGGGGCTCCCATTATAATGACAATTGCTAGCATTTACTGAATACTTATATGCCAGACACTGTGTTAATCACTTTCTATACATTTTAAAAACTCCTCCCCAAAATCTGACATAGGGCTTACTTTTATAACTCATTTTACAGGCTTTATAACTCATTTTACAGACAAGGAAATTGAGGCTCAAGGAGGTCAGATAACTTGGTCAAGGTCATTCTGCACAAGAATGGAAGAGCTGGGCTTCTTTCCAGAGCCTCATTCTTACCACCCTTCTATAATGCCTGTGACCTTTTGTCCTATTCTCCCTCTGTTGGTTTTATCCTCACAGGCCACTTCCTGGGTCAGCCTGCCCCTCAGGCTCTGCCCCAGGTAACCGTCTCAAATGCCTCACATCCTCCACAGAAGGTGTGGAGAGGAGACTGTGCAACGGATCTCAGAAGCTATTGGTTTCTTGGCAATGACACTCATTCAGTTAACACATCTATTCAATACAATTCCACTGAGGCACAGCAATGTGCAAACCATCTTGCCAAATAGAGACATATGGGGGGGGGGGGGAACAGTCCCACTGAAAAACTCAGCGAATAATGGAGAAGAGCAAAGAACAGAGAACTTAATTTCCTGCCTTAGGTACCATCTTTTCTCCCACAGAGGAACAGGGGGATGGAGCAGGGCTTTAGGCTGAGAACTGGTAGGAGGAGAAAGGTAAGCAGCAGGGGAGTAAACCTTAGGGTGTGAGGGGCAAATGCTGTAGTGCAGTGGGGACAGAATGAAACAGAAGGGGATCTGAAAGGAAAGGTGAGATGCCAAGATTGCCATGGCAACAGCAAGTTGTAGCAATGCTCTCCAGTATCCAAATCTACAACTCTTGTTAAGACAAAAGCCCTGCCCTCCCCCTCCCCCTCCCCAGAAAAGTCCTTCCACTCTATCTCACCTTTACCTTCCAACTTGCAAACCCCAGCTTAATGCAATTCAATAAGCAACTGAGTTGTAGCACTGGGGAGAGATTTTCTGGTAGTAGTAGAGAGGCTGTTGAAGTACAGGGCTGAACCATTCATAGGCAACAAAGGGAACTCCATAAACTAGGAAGGCTGAATCACTCAAGCACCATGGTGGGGGTATGCTCAAAGTTGGACTAGATTATTGTAAGGAATAGACATAATCTAGATCCTACCATTCTTCTTCAAGCATGTGGTACAGAATTGGACTATTGGAGTAGGGCAGGGTTTAGTGCTCAGGGATAGTGCTTACCAGATGGAGTTCAGTGTGTCCTGCCTCATTGGAATCAGTGCCCCAATGGTGGGGTGCAGCAGACCACAGTGGGTGAGGTGGGTGGTACTATGGGGCTGGCATGGTGCCTGGGGGAACCTAAAAGAAAAAGGCCAGTTAGAGGTGGGTTCTCTAAGTCAGGAGAATTTCCCTGTGCTATCTTTCCCCTTATTGAGGAGAAACCTGGCTCTGGTGGTCAGATGGGATGGGAGACTCTGTTTCCATGGCAACCAGAAAAAAACCATACTGAAAGTGGTCCTCCAGCCTTCCCATTTAGGAAGTAGCTTGGACCTGGGTGGGGTAAGGGGAGCATGCTATAGTGTAAGTCCACAGTGGTCACCCAACCCATGATCCCTCTTCTGACTGGACCCTCCTGCTGAGAGAGTTCCTGGCCCCAGAGTAGGGCTGGGCTACCTCAGACTTGTGAACACCAAGTTGGCTTCAATCCTGCCCCCAGGCAAGAAGATCCTCTTCCTTCAGCTCTGCCTCCTCCCTAACCTTATCAAGACACCAGTCAACCCCACCCTTTGGACTCTGCCCCCTCTCCTTCCCCCAGGCGGGTGCAGGCAGGTCTCCAGAGCAGCACAGGTGGCCAGACTAGATGAACAGGCCCAGCAGGAGAAACCTTCCTCCTCAGCAAGGACTGCAATTCTGGTCTTGGGTCTGGAAGTGGCCTCTGCTGCAAGCGTCCCTTCCATATCCTGTTTCCCCATTACCTCCTTCCTCTGTGTGGCCCAAGAAGGTAATAGAGGCCCACTCCCTCCTCTCCTAATTGTCAAAGAGAAGCTAGGTCTTTTAGCCTAAATCCAAGGCCAAGAATCAGGTGTTCATCCAGAGGTCAGATGTAAGTCTGCCTTCACCTTAAACTCACTCCTGAGGGGTCTGTTTTCTCCTCCTTCAGTCACAGTTCTTTGCCCTTAAGGTCAAAGATTCTTGGGCTCCCTCACACACTTGCATTCTCAGTCCAGTTTCTCCATCCCCTGGCCTTCCAGCCCCCATCCTTCCCCCACCCCAGAGACTAGGGCTTCCAGCCCCCAGCCTCCATGATGCAATGTGCAGCAAGCTGCCTGGGCTGCTGATGACACTGCCCCCAGGGAGGTGCTATTTCTGACCCATGCAAGGCCCCTCACTGGGCTAGCTTAGTGGTCAGCTGAAGGGTAGGGAGACCAGGCTGGCAAGGTGCTTCTGCTTAGAAAAGGGAACCTGCCAGGACAGAGACACTCAAGAATGTGGGACCAGAAAGAGGGAGAGGAAGGGATGGAGGAAAGGAGAAAGAGGGGGGAAATCTGTGCCATTTGTGTATGTAGTTATGTTGGGGGGAAAGGGGATGCTGAGGAGGCTCTAGCCTGGAGAGAGAGGAGTGCCAGTCCTTAGGACAAGCCAAGAGGAGGAGTAAGGGGCAGCCAAGGGGGTCAGTGGTAGGTGTATGGGGTGTCTGGACAGCAGAGTGGGGGAGGGGCCAACAGCCATTTAAAGGGCCAGCCCCAGAGCTTTAATCCCTCACCAGTCCTGGCCCAAAGCCGGAGGCTGTAATTCATCTGTCCAACAGCTGGGGTGGGTGTGTTGGGGGGGGCATGTGGACTGGGAGAGGGAGCTGGGGGAGGGGCTGGGGCTTTCTTGTGCACAGAGCCAAACAACAAAAGGGGAAGCTGAAGGACCAGCTCCAATGTGCCTGGGCCAGGCTGCTGACCTGGAGACCTTCGGGTGGCCCCAACCTAGTCACCAACAGGCTATGTAGTTTGGACTGAGTGATTCTTGGTCAAGAAGTCCATGAGCCCAAAGGTGGGCCTTGGAGAAAGCCCAGGCTAAATGCTCCCCAGAGCAAGCTGTCACCCCTCCTTGCACTTTCCCAGCAGCAGCAGTCCCAGACCTGGCAGGCCCCACAACAGACTCAGCCTTAAACGCCCTGCTCTTCAGCCAAGCCTCTCTAGACACAGCCTGCCTGCCGGCTCCCCTTCCTGCTGGCGCAGTGTGGCAGTGGCCACACCGAGACTGTCCCTTTAAATCATTACCACCCCTGATTGTGTGGACTAACCGAGGGCCCTGCCCCCCAGGCAGGCGGCTGGACACCCCCCTCACGAGTCCCCAGAAATGTGAGGGCCATTTAAAGGGACAACAGAGGCAACCAGGTTGCTAACCACCCCCACCCCACACAAACACAGCCCCTTTCCCAAGCGACACAGAGCCCCTTGCCCCTCCAGAGGGCCCCCCAAATTCCGGTTCTCTCCCCACCCCTACATACTGCCAGGAGAAAGGGGGCCAGAGTTGGGGGGGACAGGGAACTGAGGGAGCAAGGAAAGGACAGGGACTCCCTCCTTCTAAAGAGCCCCAGGGGACAGGTTGGAAGGAAAGCAAAGCCCAGAGACGCAGCGACACAGAGCCCCAAATGGTGCCATGGGCAGACCTGGGGCACAGAGGCTATCTGTCGGGCTAAAAGAAGGGAGTCGGGCTGCCTGAGACGGCAGCTCGGCCAGCAGGCGACAAGCCCAAGTGGGGTAGATGGAAGGAGGGCCAGGGAAAAGAGACAAGGCCAGGAGAAAATGAGGAGAGGGAACCAGGGAAAGGGGTCGTCCGGGAGGGAGTGGAGCAAAATCGGAGAGGAGAGGGCGAACCAGGCCTGGGTTACCTGCTGGGTGTCTGTCCCCCGGCGGTGCCCCCGGAGTCCGGGTAGGGAGGGGGGAGCAGCAGGGGGGGAGTGGGGGCTGGAGGGGGGCGGGGGAGACGGTCCCTCCTCTGCCTCCTGGGCCTGCCCCGGCGCTTGCAGCCTCTGCCTCCCTCCCTCCTCCTCCCCGTCCCCGAGTCCCGGAGTCAAACAAAGAACTGTAGCAGGCTCTCCCCAACCCCCTCCCTCCTCCTCCTCCTCCTCCTCCTCCACCTCCTCCCTTCCCTCCCTCCCCACCAGCAGGCTCCCTCCTCCCTTCCGGTCTCTTCCTTTAACTACCCGCCCCCCCTCAGCCCCCAGCACTAGTCTCTCTCCACCCACCTACCCCAACCTTTTACACACCCCTCAGCCTAGCCCCGTCCCCGAAAAGGAAACTGTGGAGTATCTTTGCAAATTGAAAGGCTCCAGAAAACAGCATGGGGAGGGGACTGGGGTCTTGCTTAAAAGTCAAGAACCACAATACAATTCTTTTATTTTCACAGCCAGAGGAATAGTCTTGGCTGTTTCCTCTCTAAGAAGAGAAAAATAATCCTACAGAAAGCAATAGAAATCTGACTAAAGCCTTCATCAAATAAAGTGCACAAAGCAGTGGAAGCTAATCCCCATGCCCCTTCCCCTCCCTGCCCCCCATTAACAAACTCTCCACTTCTCCCTAAAGAACTCCTAAGGTACTGGCCAGTTTAAAGCAGGACTACCAACTTTAATAATAAAAATAACACCATTTACCAATAAGCATTCATTCAATGCTCCTTCTGTGCCAGGCACTGTGCTAAGTGCTGTGCATAAATTATCATTTTACCCTCCCAACTGCTGAGAAGGTAGGTACTCTATGAATACTTAAATTTTCCAGATGAAGAATATGAGGTTCAGAGAGATTGTGACATTTCCAAATTCCCACAGCCAGTAAGTGGCAGAGCTGGGAACGAAATAAGTCTGATCTGACAGCCCAAGCTCAGATATATCAAAAGAGAAACCATTTTTTCCAATACCATAACCAACCCCAAGGACTTAATGGACAAGGGCAACCATAGCTATCAACTGAGTCCTCCCCTAAGAGAGAGATCCACCTACCGATGCTGGATAAATACACTGATTTCTCAGTCTGATCACTATTTCTTGACCCTTCTCACTGTTGAGTGCAGAAGTGAGGGTGTCATTAAGGTCAAAGATGAGCTGGTGTCCAGCGAATGCCCCATGCTACACACAGCCCCTCTTCTGGGGGTAGCTAGCTGTCTTGCCACTACTCTCACTTCAACACAAATAACACTGGGCCAGCAGACAGCAGGCAATACAGGAGGTGGAAAAGTAAAAAGACATCTGGGAGGCTCTCTCTAGGAAGAAGGGGGCTTGGAGAGAAAGCTCTTCTGTGCCAATCCAGGGAAAAGTGACCCAGAGTTCTCTAAGCCCAGCAAAAGGTTGTATGGTCTTTCCATCACACCACACCCGTGCCCCTCCCCCTCGCAAAACTCCAGGCCAGGGTTTCCCACCTGCTGGATGCTAAGGCCAAGGGAAGGGAGAGGGGGAAAAGATGGCAAGGGCCTGGATCTGAACTAGGGGCAGAGGTGGGGGGCCGGAATGGAGAGGGGAAGAAGCCTCATTGCCTGGCAATCATCCCGGGGCACGTGCACTGGTGACATCATCCCAAGCCACCTCTAACACCGACCTTTGACTCATAGGGGCGGAGAGGGGCCACTGGCTATGCTTCCTGGGAAATAGCCTTAGGAATTCTGGGAACCCAGAAAGGGAAGGTGGAAGCAAGACTTGCTCCTTCATTTATCTCTTCCAGTACGGCTCCAGTCCCTGGCACTCGATCCTTTCGGCTCCACCTCTCCGCCTCCAGCCCTGACCTCCCAACCCACATTTCTGACACGCCTCCCGGAGATACTGTGCCTTCTCTCTCCTGGGCGAGATCTCGGGTGAGAGGTGGGAGTATGGGGCGGGGGCGCTGAGTCCCGCAGGACTCCGTCTCCCATCTGTGAGATTCCCCGTGCCTCTGCCGGCCGCCAGCCGGAAAGTGTCTGGGTCCCCAACTCTCCTGCCCCCCCCGCGCTGTTACAGGGCGGAGTCTGTGGAGTTGAAACCAGGACACGGCAAGAGGAAGAGTTATATAACCGGGAGAAGCCGGGAAAAACGAGTGGAGACGGACAGAAACAGCTCGAAAGGAGCCGAGGGAGGTGCAAAGAGCCCCTGGGCGAATGAGGAAGAAGCATTAGGGATTCGAAGGGTTTTGGTGCATATCAAAGAAGAATTCAAGCGAAGGGGCGTGATGGCCGGGGAAGTCACCTGGGTCGTCCAGGGCTTCCCCGCAGCACCCTCCCCTGCCATCAACAAACAGCTGGGCCCGAGCGAGTGAAACGTCGGCAAGGGGCGCTGGAACCCGTTCTGTTCCTCTTGGGGAGGCAACCTAAGCCAGAGCCCGGGAAGGCAGCAGCGGAGTTTACAGGGCTGGAAACCACAGCTCCATCTAGCCCACCACCTGGGAGGTTGGTGGGAAAAAGGTAGCCGGCCCATCCCACCCAAGGCTGGGAATTAATGGTTCGAGACCTCGAGAAAGAGTAAAGGCGGACCCACACGTCTGGGTCAGCAGAGGGTGAGGGGTTGGGCCCAGCCCAGCAACATCTAGCAGACTAGATGTTGGGGTTGGCTCTCACAGACCTCCAAGGGTAGGGGGCTGTGAGAGCCAAACCGCGGCGCAAGCGCGGGGGGTGGGGCGGATTCCGACGCCTGCAACGGAGGGAGGGGCAGTGGGCGCGGGCGTGTGGGAGTGCACGTGCTGTTCCTCGGCAGCTACCCCTCCCTTTCTCAACCTCTGCCCCTCCCCTCTCCTTCACGTCGCTCTATTATTGCCTCCACCACATTGGCTGCCAGGGCCCTGATGTAAGGGACGTCCGCTAGAGCCGATTGGACAGACGCAAGAGTTCGGGAATTCGGCTCTGTAGTCTAGTTCTCCCGTTACTCTAGCAACAGGGCAAGCAACCCCGCGGGGGAAGGGAAGCAGAGCTCAGCGTCGCGCCAGGATCCCGCCCCTCCTAACTACCGCTGAATCCGTTTTCGTGCCACCTTGCTGCCTACCCTCCTTCCTCCCAGGCTTTCTCTGTCCAGAGAACCAGGCATCCTACCCTAGACCTTTCCCAGGCTCCCACCACCCAACTCACAGCCACAAGCCACGGTAGACTGGAAGCGTATGTGCGTTGCTTAGTAACCAACCCGCGTGTCGCCTCCCCACTATTTACCCCAGCTGCAGGAGGTAGAGACGGAATCCCCAGCCCCCTCCTCACCCCAAGCATTTCGCCCTCCCACCCACAATTTCCTGTAAGGGGCAGAAGTGACAGGAAACCAAAAGAGCACCTCAGCCCACCTTTCCCTCTGGCTGGGGAGGGCGGCTCTGGCTGCTTTCACCGCCTTATCCACCACCTCACTCCCCTCAGCTCAGGCTGTGCGTCTCGCCCTCGCCATCTCGTGGCTTTGTCGGGAACCCCAAGCACAAAAAAGGGCCCGAGCCGGGAGAGGGCAGAGTGGGGCAAGACCAGAGATGATGAGACGAACGGGATGAAGTCGAGTGAATGGAAGTGAGGTGCGGCGAAGTGGATGGACCGGAGGCCACCGCACAGAGGCGGCTCCTGGCGTAAGGGTCAGGGCTGGAGTTATAACGTTCCTGAAAAGCACTGGGGAGAAACTGCAGTAGCCCCGGGATCGGGGACACACTCCTACTTGACGACGTCCGACCACCAAGGGCCTACATACAGACCTATTTGCAAACTCTGACCCTGTAGTTCTGTCCTGTAGTTAGGGACCGCCGCGCCGCGCCCCGCCTCGCCCTATTGTCAGGAAGGGGAATCCTAACCAAAGGGGGCAGGGAGTCCTTTCAGGCTCCTCTTCACATCCGGAACCCAACCCTTCTGCCTCTCAGCCCTTGCCCCACTCCCGTCTTGCTCTCTTCTAGAGGACTCGAATGTCCCGCGCCCCAGTCTTCTTCCCAATGCCTTTGCCAAGACCCAAACGTCCACCCCCAGCTCTACTTCGTCTGCGACTCAGGCGTCCCGCCTCCTTAGAGGAGATGGTTGCCCTTTTTCCAGACGCCCCTGTGCCCCCCGTTACCTGATTCTAGGGTGTCCCAGGTGTTCAGACTCCCCAAGGTCTCCCAGGGGGTCGAGCGGCCCCCCCGCCCCAGGCCAGGGCTGGGGGGGCCGCTCCGCCCCGTGGCGCAGTTGGATTTTCCAACACAAATCCCTCCCCCAACCCCGCCCCTTCTCATAGTCCCGCCCTTCCTCGCGCCGAAGTGGCCCCCTCCGGCTCCACCCCGCCTTTTGCAGGTCCCTTTCGCCTCAGCCCAGGTGCCAAAAAAGATACCGAATGCAGATTGCGGAGTTCGGGGTATAACGTGCGGGATCCAGCCCCGATCCGCGTCTGACAAACCCCTATTCCATTTAGATCACGCGCGTTTCCAAAATAAGTCCCGCCCCCTTTCTAGCCCGGCACTGAAATTTAGCCACACCCCCTTTTAGGCCCTACAGTGCTTCCCATTCATTGGAGGTCAAAGCTGCTTCTCAAGGCCTCCCACTTTCCCTGCTTCTTTTCCCCCTTCAGTGAGGCCCGGCTTCCTCCCCAAACCCCACCATCCCATTGACAGATTTAGGGCTTGTAGTCGCGGGAGTTTTACTGCACTGAACTCCAATTCTTCCACCTTTATGGCTAGCACACTGTATCTCCAGGGTCCCATCACACAACAAATTCAACCAAGGTCAAGGCTTGAGTGAGATCCAGCCTCGGTCTGAGGTGCATTGTCAGGTTTGGTTCCTAGAGTTTTCAACCCTCCCTCAAGTGGGGACGAAGAGGCGGCTTCTCAGTTGTCCAGGCTCATGAGTAGAGCAGTGCCCCTCTTGATCCAATGATCAGATGTCATGGTCCCACACCGGAGGTCGATGCCAATGACAAAGGAGGCTCTGTCTGAGCTGCCGGCCCGGTTGGGATAGTAGTAGCAAGGACAGGAGTACATACCTGAGGGAAAAGATAAGAGAGGGAATCGGACCACTAGAGCCTTTGAGAAAACAGAGGAATAGGGAATAGAGCAGAGGATGGGTTAAAATCAAAACTAGGGATGGGGCAGGCAGGTCTGAAGGTGTGTCCCACCCTTGGCGCTCTTCTTTCTGCTCTCTGTAGGCCGAAAGTGGATCGTGGGCATGAGGCAAACGAGCTGCATTGGCTCTGCTTCCACCAAGCAGGAGTTCTTCCTGTCCCAGCCAGCACCCTCCAGATACAGACCTCGAACCCAGACACCGTCCTGGGGAGACATAGGGGACGGGTTGGGGGGAAGTGGAGGTTGCCAGCACCCCTGACCTGCCACCTCCCCTTCCCTACTCAACCAATTGTTTCCCACCCTTGCTCCCAGCACCCTCCTCCACCAGACCTGCCTTTGCTCAGAGCCCCAAGCACATCTGGCACCCACCTTGGGTGGATACACTAGGTTGCTGTCATCCACAGTGGAAACAATAAATTCCCAAGAGAGGCTGTCGACTGATATCTGGAGAATAAAGGTGAGAATAAGGGAGGACCCTCAAAAAGGAGAGCAAATACATTCATCCAGTTCCTAAAACACTCTCCACATGGCTCACGTTGTTTTGGCGAGCTGAAGACTGCAGTACAGCAGTGAGGAAGCCGGTGGGGAAGGTGAAACCAGACAACCAGAAGATCACAGGAGGCCGGGCACGACTAGCCCACAGCTCAAACTGTTCTACACGCAGGGCCAAGTCCCGGGTCCATGCAGCCAGTGGCTTTTGTGAGGGATATGCCTGGAGGAGGAGGCAGTACATGTTCATTCATTCATTCATTCATGCATTCCAGTTCTAATTTTGGGCACTGAGAGCAGATATAAGAAGAAAATGTGGTGTCAGCCCCTGCTCCCCAATTTCAATTGAGTAAAGCACTCCAAAAGCCAACTGCCAGGAAATAAGCATAAAACGACAACCATTTATTAACAATGGTAATAGTTACCAGTCACCATTAATGAAAACTCCTATGAAGTGTTATGCACAGTGCTGAGAATCCTTGAAACATCCTTGGAGAGGTTAATAACTTGCCCTGAGTCAGCTTCTAAGTTAAGTCTTGTGCAAAGTCAGTCAGTGAATGACAGCCAGATTTCAACCTTGAACCTGCCTGGCTCCAAAGCCCAGGCTTACTGCATTTTGCTATATGACTACCAAGAACCAGGAGATTGGGGGCACAGGGTTGAGAGCTCATTGCTGGAGTAGGATCAACAGTAGTGTAAATCTTGCCTTTCCCCAGAGTGGAGGGACATGGGCATCAAAGATGCAATTGAAAATCTCCTCCAGGCTTGTAGACATGACGATGAGACCTTGGATGCCCTTTTCCAGGTCTGTCAATGAGAACCTGAGCAGGATAGGATGGAGGGTTAGAGATGGGTTGGGCCTGGAAGAGTCATCCTAGGTAGGAGGTAAAAACCTTTCCTTTTGCCACCTCCCCACATTCTGCAGAGCCCCTCTCCATCTTACAGGATGGTCTCCATAAGCTTGTTGTATCTCTGGATCTCCTGCAGAAGGACCACATTGAGAGGGGAGGGGTCCAGAGCCAGCAATTTTCGGGTCCCCTCATAGTCGATCATTTCAGGGATCTTCTGTTTCACATCAGTAGCCAACTCAAGGACCTGATGAGGCAGAAGCTCTGAGTGCAACCCTCTGTCGTGACTTCTCCCTCCCCAGGTGTCAGTTCTTACCTTCTCTTCCCGGCTCTGGCCTCCAACCCTGGAGGGTGTAATCTGGGGTTGCAGGGAAAGCAGAGTCTCAAAGAGAGTTCGTGCCTCAGTGATCTGGGAGGCCACATCTGCATTGGGGTGTTGGCCAAAGGCTTCAGGGGGGTCCATGCTAGGCAACATGCTGATGTACTCCTTGTAAGAGGCCAGGCCCCCATCCTTGGGTATGAAATAAGTCTCTAATGCTGACAACCTGGAAAGCCACAGCATAATTATCACCACATTGCGGGAACTCTGTGTCAAACCAAGACTCCAGCTCTACCTACATCCCATGTGTGCAACTCTCTGTTCTTGCTTTTCCTCCCAATCCCCCACACTCTGCCTTCTCCCAGTCTCATGTTCTCTCCTCAAACATTACCCTACCCCCAGTCCTGCCACCTGGTCTTTTTGTGTCCTCTGGGCCCCTGTTAGTGCCACCTCCCCCTCACCGGTAGAAGGGGGTTGATAGAGACTGGTCACAGAAATAGTCATTGATGTAGGTGGTGAGCAGGCGCCGGTCCCAGTCATCTGTGACATGCCCACTGTAGTTGATGCCGGCAATGAGGTACTTGAGCGCATCCCAGGGTGTCTCCTCATACTCATCCAGATAGAGGCTCAGCAAATTCTCTGACACCTGTGCATGGCCCCAGCCCAAACCCTTAGCACCACAGTTATTGCAGGAACTCTTCTAATGGGGCTGCTTTTAAAAATAATAATAACTTCCCAATGGGGCTTTAACAGAGACTTTCTGTCAGTGGGTATTTCCAGAGGGGAGCCATGAAGCCAGAAAGGGGGCTGGCATAAGGGGCCCCTGGTTAGGGCATACCTCAAAGTCGGAGTCATTGAAGCCATAGACAACGTTCCAGCCAAGCTGCAGGAACTTTTTGCGTTCAAGTAACACAGAGTGAAAGAAGCAGAGTGCAAACAGCAGCTTCTTATACTTCGCAGGTTTGGAGCAGCGGGAAAACTGTGGTTCCGTCATCAGTTGGTAAAGACGTGTCATGTTGGCCTTTAGACCCTGGGGACGGGGGAGTAGGGAGAAGGGATGACAGCATCTTGCTCAGCCCTGCCACTAGCACACTGTGCTACAGTTGCAGAGGTTGCTCACTGCACTAGGCACTGGCTGAGGGGCTGAGCGGAGGCTGAAATCTAGCCCCAGATCTGCCTGCCGACATGTGCACTCATTCACAGGGCTGGGTGCCTTTCTCTAATTCACACAGAGGCACTGTATGGGCTGGTGGCAGCCCTACCTTCTTGTCCTCCTACTTTGATCCTCTCAGCCACAGTATTCTCAGTGGTCGGTAAGCCCACTCAATTTGGGAGTACCAGAAAATATGAACAAAGACAAAGATATGCATGTAACTATTAATGAACAAAAATGTACACCGTACTATGTGGAGATGTCTGGTGTAGATTAGAAGGGTCATAGTATACCCCTGGCCAGTGTGGCTCAGTTAGTTGGGTGTCTTCCCATAAACTGGAAGGCTGCAGGTTCAGTTCCCGTCAGGGCACATGCCTGGGTTACAGGCCAGATCCCCAGTACGGGGTGTGTGAGAGGCAACCACACATTGATATTTCTCTCCCTCTCTTTCTCCCTCCCCCCAAAAAAATAAAATATTGAAAAAAATAATAAAAGGGTCATAGTATTTGGGCCAATATAAAAAGGCCAACAATAAAATAAGGGTCACAGGGAATATTCCCTGTGATTGGATTTATCAGTCTTCATGAACAATTTGGGATTTGGGCTAAGTCTTACAAATGGAAAAGATATGACCAGGCTGAGAAGAGAGACTTGGTTTCCAGGAGATAGAAAGAACTGAAGGAATAAAGGCACAAAGAGGAGAATAAGTGAGAGGATAAGTCTAACTGAAGTCAAGTGCAAGTGCTGAGGTCAGGTAAGAAGAGCCATTAACAGATGGAGGTGCAATAAGAAGGACAGTCTGAATCATTTGGACTTGATTCACCAGGCATTATGGAGACACGTTCTGTCTTGAGTAGAACAGTGATATGTTGAAACGGTGTCTTAAGAAGACTCACTTACGATGGACAGAATGGAGTAGCGAGAAAACTGAAGGACAAATATTAGACAGAGCAGCAACAAAAAATATAATTTAAAAAAATTTTAATTTATTTATCTTTAGAGGGGAAGGGAAGGAGAGAGGGAGGGAAATATCAATGTATGGTTGCCTCTCGTGTGTCCCCCACTGGGAACTGGCCTGCAACCCAGGCATGTGCCCTGACTGGGAATCAAACCACAATCCTCTGGTTCGCAGGCCCATGCTCAATCCACTGAGCTATACCAGCCAGGGCAAAAAAAATTAGATTTTTAAAATGCCATTTATAACAACAAAATATGTAAGGTAGAAATAAATCCAATAAAAATGTATAAATCTTTATATAGAAAATTACAACAGTTTATTGAAATAAGGAATAAATGGAGAGACATACTATTCTCATGAATTGGGAGGCTC